CGATTGCTTTTGGAAAGCACTGAATGCTGGGCTCCGAGTATCGGCCTTGATGAGTGTTTCCTGAACCGTATAGACCTAGTGATACCATCTCGAAATGAATGCGAGGATACAAAAAATGGCAGCTGCTGACGGCGGTGTCGTTTGCCTGTGTGAGTGAGGCGTTGCTGCTCGCGGCGTTGCTGCGGCCCGTGATGAAAAAGGTGCCAGTAATTGGTACGTGCTGTTTTTTCCTCTCTGCCGGCGTCGATTCGCTCATTATATCGGTGTCTCTTTCTCACTCGACAGGTGGCAATTTTTTTCCTTGCACCTTTTTCTTCATCCTCACTTGCCTCTTGAAACGGATGATTGGCGATTCAATGGCGCCACCGCCTCGACTGAGTGGTGCCCTGTATTTGTCTTGTGCTTCGTGTTTGTTTTCACCTTTTTGCTCCGTCTCTGCGAGGCTGGCTGGAACACCCTTCTGTTGCTTCTATTTTGGCAGAGGGAGGTGCGCGGTCGGTGACCTGCCGGGCACGCCCTGCGGACTGGGGAAAAAATCAATTGCTCAAAGTCTGCGCCGTTCCCTTCCCCGTTCCTCAGGCCAAGATGGGCGCCGCTTTTTCCCCCGTCTCCGGCGGAGGGTAGGAGAAAGGAGGACAGCTTTTAGGGGTGGAAAGCTGCTCTTTGGCCCGGCTAGCCGCGGATGCAGGGGAGCTTTGCCATTCAAAGATGGACTGCGGAGTCTGGTCGGTGCGCCTTCACGGTGGAGTATGCTCGCGCATGTTGTAGTAACGCAAGTGCAGTCCATGGAAAAGATTAAGCGAAGTTCTACCAGTGCTCGAAAACCATGGAATGGAAAGCTTACAGTTCAAATAACTTCTGTGCAGGACTATTTCATCTCAATCGAATGAATACTTGCCGCATTTCAGTTCAGGGAAGGCCTTGTTCAACAGGGTCTTTCGAAACATTCTCGGGCTGTTTCCTATCTTCATGTAAAGAGGCGTAGCAGCCTTATCCTTTCAGCACGCGACCCCAAAGGCGATTTGCGGAAGTGCTGAAATGAAGCAGAGGCCGTCGTGGGGGCACACGGACCGAGGCACGGACGGGATGGCGGCGGTCCGGGGCATGCATTACTCAATCGCGGCCGATGCCGCTTGTTTCCCCCAGGGGAAATTAGGCGCAAGTGAACGCTTTATTTCCAGGAGTGCGGCCCAGCCCGCCAGCGCAGCCCAGCGCAGCAGGGCCCCAGGGAGGGGAGCGCTCGGGCCGCGGGGGAGGAAGGGCGGACACACGCCGAGAAACTTTCCCCTGGAAAATAATGTTCCTTTTTTCCGAACGCGCATTTTGTCTGTATACTTTTTTGTTGGCAGTTTTGTGAGGGTAGGCAGCAGGGCTCTGAGACGTGTCGGTTTGATGGGGCGTGAGCAGTGCATCGTGCTGGCTGGCTGGCTGCTGTCTGGCCGCCGCAAGAGGATTGCGGTCCGAGCGACAGCAGGGTGGCGAGACTGGCGAAGGGCAAATGGATGAATAATGACGTGGGGGTGGCTGCCTGCTTGCTGGCTGTCTGCGCGGCCGGCTGCCCGGTTAGCGATCAAAGAGGATGAGGAGGGTTTTGGCGGCGGGTGCGTGCCGCTGACGCGTGTGCACTACCTCGCGTGCGTGCGGCCGTGCGTGCGCGCGGTCACGCGCCGTTCCCACGCTACTGCTGTCGCCGCGGCGGCGTGCACGCTCGTGGCTTTTATTTCAATTTTTGTGTTGGCAAACCTTGATTTACTCTTTTTGTCGGTGACTTGCCCGGCTTGCTAATGAACGGCCGAGGCACGCAGCACGTACCAATCTCTGTCGCGACACACCGCTGTTTCCCTACTGTCGGTGTGTCAGCCTGTGTGTATGTGACATGGCGGCGCCCTCTGATCCTCAACATGGGACTACACACGCGGCTCGCCACAACACGACATGTGCTTGCCACTACACCCTACACCTTTTCCTCGTGTGTGAGCGTGCCTGTGCATGTGTGCGTGCCAAGGCGCGTGCAAGCCCCCTCGCGCCGTCATACTCAGCTGAGCGTAACTGCTGCCAACACACGCTCGCTCACACACACCACTCGGATACGTGCGTGCGGTTAGCGGGCCCAATGGATCAGCTTATGGTGATCCGGCTAAGCCCGCCGGGGATGTATATATCCCTTGTGGCGGTCCAGCCGGGGACGTTTACAGCCCGCGGGTCCAACTTTTATTCGGGCCGGGCATGATGGCGGGAAGGGAGCGGAACGGGCGGCCCTCTCTCTCCTCCGCCAAATGGGAAACAATGAACACGGTCTGATAGCGGATCTGCGGCTCGGGTTCCGCCCTCCTCACAGCTGGGGTCGCCGCGCCGCCTCCGCCATGCCGCGCCATGCCCCGCCGCGCGTCCGAATTAACACGCCCCTGAGGTACATTAACTATTTATCGCGCCGTGAGACCATAAAAGAGGGGGAGGGTCGTAATGACAGTGCTCCCCGGGCCGCCACGGGCCGACTGGGCCGACCGGGGCGTCAGCTCGCGTATAAATAGATACCCCCAACTGCTCTAGTTTTTGTCCGCCGTCAAGCATTGTTCCCCTTCTTACACGAGGCCTCTGAGGGGCGAGGCAGCCGCGCGCGGCCTCGTCCTAGGAAGTTGTTGCGGTTAGAAGCGTCACGCTGTTTTGGCGGGATTTATTCTGGTGGCGGTGTGGGCGTGGGGAGGCCCCCGCACTTGTCTCTCGGCCACATTTTCACGGGGCGGGGCGGGCCGTGGTGGGCCGCGGGGCAGACAGAGTGGCCCATTTGTCGTCGACCTCCCAGCGCGCTGCGCGCTCAGCCAAGACACACCGCGCTCCGCCGCTCCGCCCCTGACTCCCACAGCTCAGCGTCTCGAATCGGTGGCGCCCAGCCTAATAACGCTACTGCAGCTGACGAGGGCGTACTGACTCCCATTGTCCTCAGGACAGAACGCTAACTTGTCGGACTTCCTTAGCGACGTAGGAGCCTTTTCTTTGGACAGGTTTCTGAAGAAGCCGAACGGAGAGAGAAGGCAGGTTTAACTACTGGAAGCAAATCCATTCTGTTCCAAATTTGGCCTCGGAATTTTTGCGGTCAGCTTCGCGGCGTTCTACGTGCTTTGGCAAGTCGGACGCCCCAACTTCGGATTCCCGTTGTTTTTGTGCTGATTTTTTCCTCCCCCTCGGAGACCGCGCAGAGGAGGGGAAGGCAACAGGAACTGTCATGTAGAGCCGCCGGCTTGATAAAGTTGGCGTGCAGTGGGCGGCGAAAACGAGCAGCGGTTAGAAAAAATAGGAGAAAAAGACCATGTCAGTTTATGGGTAAAAGTACAATATTGTGTCTCTTTTTTCTGCGGGGCATAAAAAGGCGACTGACTCGTTGACCGACGCAGAGTTTGGCCGCACTTCCACTCCAACGAGTTGACAAACTTGGGCGTGAAGGGACGCGCCCTGATCCCCGGGACGGACAAGTTCGTTGATATGCGCCCCAAGTTCAATGGAGCGGGGATAACCGCCCCGGCGCTAAGTACACTCTGTGTCGGCATTTCTCGCTCAAGCGCCAATGAGCGTGGATTACTGCGCGGCTAAGTGGGCTGCGCCTGAGTGGTCTGGAGGCGCTTGAGCGCGCTGGAGAGCCGCGGCTTGTGACGTGACGAAATGGCGGATATCAAGCAGGGAAAAGTTGGAAATTGATGGTTGGAATTCAAATGACACCTTGCTGGGGCTAGCCATCAGCCTCTAGGGTTGAGGCAACTCACCGCGTTTGTAGCGAGCGGATCCTCACTTAGTCAAAGGCAGGACCACTGGAACAAATCAGTCGTCCTGGAAACATTCTTTTGTCTGGAAGATGGACTCTCAACGCTTGCAACTCCGGCCATGAGAACCTGCAGAGAACCTCGGCATTGAGTTGGTTTGCCGCTGGTGGTCCCCGTGGCGTTTAGCTTTTCGATATCGCTTCCGCGGCACGGACAGCGGCAACAAAGAGATGTTTGTCCGCGCTTTTGTTTTCCTTTTGCCCCTCTTCTTTTTCCGCTCCAACTGGCACAGCGATTCCAAATATGCTTTGAATACAGCAGCCCGTTGCGTATTGTGTGCTTTCCTGCCCCCTTTTTTGCTCGATCCCGGTCGTGATCTTCTTCATCTCCTCTTCGTTCAGCTGCCTCTATCCCCTAACTCATCTGCTTCTTTCTCGTGTCCCCTCTTCTCTCCTGTTTCCTCGTCTTCTCTTCACCTCCTCCCCACTTGGAATGGTTTCTTCTGGTCGCCGGTGTTGTTTCCAAGGAGTGTCTTGTGTGTAAATGAGGTGTCCACCCGTGTTGGCAATGTTAACCAACCGGATCTGTGTGTGTGTGTCTGTGTGCGTGTGTGTGTGACAGGGGATGTCTTTATTTATCGTTGCGGCCGTTGTGTCGCGATAGCCGAACTGTCCTTTGGTAGCCATTGTCCTGCCTGGTCCGGACTTGGTGGCCCGAAAATTCCCCGTGCGATTAAAGGGTTCTCTCAACTGCCCGTGCTGGTTTTATATCCTGAAAGGATTTACCTTAGCTGAGCCAAGCCATGCTCGGAGCATGTTAAACCCGTCAGGGAGTTGGTAACGAAGAAGGTTGACTCCCGGAGCAATTTTGTCGTAATTCTGTAAGGGATTAGGGTTGTGATGTGGATCGCAGTGGCATGTGACGATTTGTGCGAGGGTAAGGAAGTCCCCCGGGCTGGTTGTCGGGTGTAATTCCACTCCGCCCACCTGGCAGGTGACCCGGCCGGTAACCCTAGATGACTGGCTCATCGCCCGGCCTCGGCGTCCTCGCCCGGACAGAAGGGGTGGCGGACCGCTGGGCCACTGGGCCCCGGGGGGTGGACGTGCTGCCTCGGGGCGGTTTGTCGTGAAGTGAGATAAGGTCACTCACGGACGTGGCTCGCTGACGGGCTTGGCCAAAACACACCCGCCTCGCGGTCGGCCTGCCAAAAGCGAAAACTGCAACCTTGTGTTCCTCCTGTTTCAGGTGAGTTCCTCGCGCCGAGGGCACGCCGTCTGGCGGCCGAGCTGGGGACTGGCGGTGAGTGTGAGGGGAGGCAGCGGGGTCGGCTCGAATCTCGGGGCGCGAAGGGAGACTAATCCGGTAAAGGGGACGGCATGAAACTGATCCCTAAAACGCGACGACCAGACAGGACGCGCCCATCCCCTCGACGGCGCGGCGACGCTCCCCTCTGCCAGCACACTATCATCCTCATAAAATTGCACCCCTGCCGCCGTCTCTTTCTTTGCGCATTTCCCTCGCTCTCGACAAGATACCGGAAAGGGGAGGAGTGGGGATCCAAGGAGTGTGTGTGTGTGTGTGTGTTTATTCATATTTTGTTTCTTTTTAATATGTCGTGCCTATTGACATGCATCGCCTTGTTGTCGCACCCTTTCTGCTGACCTGGTAGAGAGAGCTTTGCTGTGAATTGAGGCGTTGTCGGTCAAGCGCGTACGCACACACACGACACGGACGCGGAAGGCTGTACCGCTACAGTGTAATGAATTTGCCAGCCGGACTCATCATGGACCAACCAACCCTGCTGATGATGCACAGTGTGCTGCACGCCCACCACCGCTTTGTGGGCCGCCTCGCTGGACAAAGGGTTGTGTGTGTGTGTGTGCGCCCCGTGGGCAATAGCTTATTAGCCGCACCCCCGCTGCGCGCTGGCGTGCGTGTGTGTGCGTGTACACAGAGACGGCTGCAATGAATGAGTAATGCGGCCAATGGGGTGGCCGGCTGGCGCCTCGCTGTGCCCGGCTGTGCCGCCACACTGTCACGCCAGTGCGCTGTGCGTGACGGCGTGGCGTGACAAGCAGCGTGACTAGCACGGAGTGAGTGACGACGAGGTCGACGACGGCCGGGCATGCCGCCGCGTGTCGCCTGTCTGTCTGCCTGTCCGTCTGTCTGTCCGCCCGTCGTGGGATTGAATGAAATCGCGCCGCGTGTCAGCGCGCAGGCCGCGCAAGCTGCCTTTCTGCCCCATTCCTGTTTATTCTAATTTGATTCCCTTTTTGTAACCAGATAGTCCAATCGGTGCTGCAGTGTCGTCGGGTTTATCGGCCCGGGGCGTTGGTCCTCCTCTCCCTCCTACACTGTAGGGGTGGCTTTGAATTTGCCGCGGAATTTATTTTGCCCCGCGTGAATTGGCTGAGATCACGCGCGCGCTCCGAGGGTAGTCGAGGGTGGCGGCGGAGTAGGGTGTGCGGTGCCCTGCGGCGTTGGCCTGGGGTGGAGAGAGAGGACAAAGCACTGTGTGCTCTCTTTTCCCTCCTGTTATTTCCCTCTTTTTTTGCGAGCCTTTGCGGCGACTGCTGTGCGTACCGTAGCCAAGTCCCTCCTCTCCCTGCCGCCGCCACCGCCGCCGCTACTGGAAGCGGCTGCACACGTTCACACTCATATCACACACACACACATGCGCGCCGCTGTCGCGAAATGGCGTCACACAATTTCACGCGCGTTCATACATTCGGGCGCTGTGTTTTTCCTTTTTCTTTGGCCGTGTGCGTGGTGCCTGCACAGTTGCCTGTTGTGGTGCGCGTCGACGCGACCCGCTCGGCCACGTCGTGACGACCGCGCGGCGTTTACGGCGCCGTTTCATCGCGTCACGTGCCTCCACTGGAAGAGAGAGAGAGAGAGAGAGAGAGTGTTTGCATGCGGGGTGCGCGTTTTACTCCTCACGGCGACGCGCTGGCCCGACCGCTCACCGACCCGACTGCCGGCGCGCCGAGCGCGCGTTCGGTCGCCGCGTTGGTCGGTCGTTTCCGCCCCGACGGGACGGGGTAACTTTGTGCAGGCCCGCGGGGCCGCGGGGCTGCGGCATGAGAATGTTACGAGTCGGGTGATGGCGTTGCGCGGGGTGCGGTGCGGCCAGGCCGGGCCAGGCCGCCAGGACGGGGCAAGCGGGCAGGACTGCAGCGCCGTAGCGCCGTTTTCGCGGACGGCCGGACGGCCGACGGCCCATCCCGCCGCGGCACTTTACGAGCAATGGCTGCCCGTGCTTTACGAGCCCCCCCCCAGTGGGCCAGAAGACCGGTGGAGGTGGACACAACTCTCGACGCGTTTTGAGCTACAGAGTCGCTAAACAGGGCTCGAACCGAGCGTGTGACCCCACCAATGGATTGCTCTCCGAACGAGGAATCCATTGGTGGGGTCACACGTTTGATTCGAGACCTCTTAAGCGACTTTGGAGCTCAAAACGCGTCTAGAGTTTTGGCCGCCTCCACCGGTCTTCTGGCCCACTGCGCGGCGGGGAGGGGGCCAAGCCGGGGCCAGCACCGCGTCGTCGCGTCGTCCTCATCAAAATGCTAAACGGCGCTCGGCGGGGCGCGGGGCGGCGGCGGTGGGGCGGCCCCCGGCGGCGTCGACGTGCACCCTCCCGGCCACGCCCCGCGGGCCGGCTGGCGGCAGGGGGTTGTCGTCGGCGACCTCCAGGACGACCCGCAGCCTCCGCCACGCCCTGGCGTTGCAGCGTAGCACCGCGCCGTCCCTCACGGGGCGCCGCGGCCGCACCTGGCCGGCCGCCTCGACCGCGTGGGCACCGCACGGCGCGCTAACGTCCGCTATAAATATTGACGGGAGTCGTAACGGAGGAAACGTGACAGTAAACATGACACTAAAGCCGGCGACAATAAACTTGACACTAAATCGTGACCTTCCTTTTTGGCCGCGCGCCGTTCGCGGCGCGGTCGAGCGCGGCTCAGACGTCGTGTCTTTATTTTGCTGCCGGCTCGCCGTCCCGTTTCCCCCCTTCCCTCCCCCCTCTCTCTCTCTCTCTCTCTCTCTCTCTCTCTCTCTCTCTCTCTCTCTCTCTCTCTCTGTTTTGCTTCTACCCGCTGTCGCCACCGCCCTCCCCACGCTAAGTCCACGGCTATCTGCGCCGCATCTTGCGCCCTACCTGGCCCACTTCGTCTTGCTGCCTCCCCCGAGGCCCGCCTCGGGGTTTGCGAGAGAGAGGGAGAGAGGCCGGGGGGTCGCGCCCCCGCGCGCACTTTGCACGACGACGACAGAGATAGTGAAAGATGAGGCAGGAGGATGATGGCCTGCTTGCGGCGCGGCGGACGCGTCGCGGTGGCACGGGAAAGAGACGGAGGGGGGAGGGGGGGAGAAAAATGGGAGCGGAAGCTCATTCCGCGCCGCGCTGTGCCTGGCTGTGGCGCGGCCGTCTAGCCGCGTGCCGCGACCATTACTTGGCATTACTCCTAGCCGGCTGCACAGCTAAGTACCGCCGGCGCGTTTTTGTTTTTGTTTGGCCACTAATTTTGATGTGATGGAGAGCGAGCGGGGTCGTCGCTGTCGCACTGGCGGCATTAATAGGTCGCTTCCGGCCGACATGACAATGTGTGTGTGACGTCACGCCGCCTGCACCTTTACGACTCGAGGCGTGCGCGCCTTGGCGTGTTACGGCCTTGCCGGGAGGAAGTCGTGTCCAGTGTGCAAAAAAATTTCGTTTCATTACGTTTAAATTTTTTTTATTTTCAATTTTTTGGCGGGGCATAATTATACGGAGGGGAGAGCTATTGCGGTCAAGTTGTCAGGGATAATGGTTCATTTGGCCGAGTGGAAGAAGAGGGGCTCTTGGGGCTTGTTTTGGCTAGGTCCGCAGCGGCGCGGCCCCGGGGGGCGGCAGCGGGGGGCAGGTGAGCGGGGGCGGCGCGGGGGCGGCGCGGGGGCGGGCGCCAGCGAGCTAAGCTTGTTAGCGGCCTAATCTGAGAGCACTTCCCAGAGATTCGCAATCCGATTACGGGAGTTGGGGAAGGCGAGGCGACGCAAGGCGAGGGAGCGGAGCCGAGCGGAGCCGAGCGGAGCCGAGCGGAGCGGGGCGTTCAAAGCAGACAACGTTGTTCTGCTGGCCGACGGTCCGGCGTCCTTTATTTTTACCCGCCGCTCCCTTACCAAACTTACAGCACTGCCAGAGGAGACCGGAAGTTGAGAATTCAGGTTGTGCGTTATTTTTCTTTCTCAAATAGCCTTGCCGCCGTTGAAGGAGAGCGAGAGAGACGAACGACGCGTTTTCGCTTTTCCCCTTGGAGTGTCGGCCGGCTGTGTACCCTTATTCACTTCCAACACAATGGGATCTTCCCCCTCATCTCCCCTTCCTCCTCCTTTTTTTTTTCATCCCGGCGAAAATTTGACTTGACGACAGCGTTATGCTTGATGAAGCAAAACGAGATTTTAAACTTTTTCTTTTTCCAACCCCTCGTCGTGTCGCCGCTTTATCATTTTTTGTCTCTCTGCCCGGTTGTCTGCTTTGTAAGACGGCTCGCGGATGGCCGCGGTCTCGTTAGCATAAGCGCTGGCATCGCCTGGGCATCGCGCGTCGCGGATTGACTCGTCACGCCGCCCGCGTTTGGAAGCCTGCTTTTTGTTCCGAAAAAATGTGCCCGTCCGGAATTACAAACGTCATTTCACCAAATTGTCGCGATAAGCCCTGGTTTACGGTGTAGCTGCAAGCTGGGGTCCAAGAGGGGCGCTAAAGGGGCTCATTGCAGCGGGGGGCGTGGGGGTAAGAAAGAGGGAGGGGGCGCATGGGGGGCAAGAAAAAGGGGGGGGGAGGGCAATTCGCGCTCAGGGCGTCGTGAATTTTATGGCTCCTTAAACTGCGCGAACAATCTACTGGCGCGGGTTATGGCTCGGCATGGCGGGGCTCTGGGCTCGGTTAGTTGTTGGTAATGACGGAATAAAAGTTTCCCCCTCGTGAGAGTGCGGCCAGCCAGGCCAGCCTTTCGCGGCCGGGGGGACTGGCGAGGAAAAAAAGGGTTTTAGTGCCGTAACGGCTTACTTGATTTGCAGGCTAGACTATTTGCAGTGAGCGGGCAAGGGGAGGGGGGCTCGTGTGCACTCGAGGAGACGGGCACAGTGGGCCAGAAGACCGGTGGAGGCGGACGAAACTCTGGACGCGTTTTGAGCTCCAGAGTCGCTAAATGGGACTCGAACCGAACGTGTGACCCCCACCAATGGATTGGTCTCCGAACGAGGAATCCATTGGTGGGGTCACACGTTTGATTCGAGGCCTGTTTAGCAACTCTAGAGCTCAAAAG